AAGGTAGTTAAACCTGCTCATAAAAAAAAATAGCAAAGTAATAAAAACCTGAGAGGAGTTTTAACTCTTCAACACGCAATCCAAAATAATAAAAGCAAGTGTAGTATTGTAACATTTCCCCTTACACTCCATTGAGAATAATACACAATGTTCAATGTTTCTTTTATGGTTTGCGATCTGCTGGTCACGTGTTGTACTGTATTTCCTCCACAAGGTGTCACCGCCGAGCAGGTTCTGGTTACTGTGACCTTAATCAAATTAGAAAGGATTAGGTTTCTGCACTGGGTGGCGGTGGGGGGAACCAAATCCTGGACCCTCCACCTATGCTGTAATCAGCATCTCTGTGCAAAGGTCAGCAGGGGGCGGGGTGGGAAACAGGTGCTCCATATGGCTCCATTTACACTCGGCCTTCTATAAATGACCAAGTTACCTCGGGAGGGCAGAGCTGCAGTTTACTGGCGGGGGAGCCGAGAGAGGCCGTGAGGGATGGGATTCTGGGAATTGAACCCTAACTTTTTAGTTTGCATAAAACACAGAGTATCATAACCAATGCTGCATTTTTTAATTTTTTTAAATTAAATACTTTTTCACCATTTTTCAAACATTGTTACATCTCTGTGCTGCTGATCCCTGCAACCACTTCCTGTCTACATGCACTTCAGTGATGGCTCCATGACATTTTTCAGGGCAGGTTTCCAGATGGTGACAGGCACACTGGACTATGAATGAGTTTAGCTAGGGACAAAATGAGACATCATGGCTTCATCACTGTGCTTGTCCATGCAATGCAGGCAGGTCATGGCTGGTGGGAGGGGCCGACAGGGTGCTGTACATAGCTTCCTGGAAACATCACAGCCCCCTGCCCCCGTACTACTCTTAAGGGCCTTCAGCCCTCATGCAAGCAGTGGGCTGACTCTTGGGAGGAGTTATGCAAATAATAAACTGCCTTGATGGGTGGGTGTCAGTCTGGAGGAGTGGATGTTCCTAGGCAGGCTGGATTTGCATGCAGTCCATCCTAGGTAACACCCACATGTGATGCTGAGCTTCAATGGACCTGGAATCCAATGAATTAAAGGGGCAGAGGAAAAAGGCTAGATGATGCTGGATGTCCACCAGCCAGGAAATGAGCCGGAGCTCTATCTAACTTGCTGCAGCTTCTGATGCACATTGTCAGAAGCTCACAGTGTGCAGTGAGAAAGTAATATCATTCCAGGAGAGGAGCCGGTACAACTGTGCAAGACTGGAGGGAAGGACGGAGGTCAGCAATAAGCTATTCAGTGAGTTCTTCTGTGAAGTGGATCCGCTGTCATTTTGGGGAAAGCCAAAGGTGAACTGACAGGTTAGGTCAAAGGAAAATAAACTCGCCCAGACACTTGATTGCTGCTGCTCTCTATTACAGATGCCAGTTGGGATTGGGTAGTGCCAGGTTAGGGCAGGCTGCCAAGCACAGAAAATACCCGTCATGTACACAAGATGCCAGAAAGTCATTGCATTGCAGAGTGATACTAGAGAGCAGCGCTGTCCCCGGGACACCTGGCACAATGCACCGAGACACTGGAGTGGAGCTGTGCCCGGAATAGTAGCGCATTGCACTGGGGAGCCGAGTAGTCCCGGGGGTGCATTCATACCTGGTACATCGGATGGTGATTACAGAGGGGGCGACGGGATGTAGCAGTGTACACTGTGACCCCAGAGCATGTGAAACTAAAGGTGTCGCAGTGCTTAAAATACAGGGCACTGTCACCCTGTGCTGCACAGCCGTGCCAGAGGTAAATGGCACACAGTATGGAAGCAGTAGGGAAGTGCTACTCCATTGGGGCACTTCCTGTAATCTTTAGCACAGTGCATTGAGCAGTAGGGCAGCTTCGCTCTGTTGGGGGCCCTACCTGCAATCCTTAGCACAGTGCACTGAGCAGTAGGGCAGCTCCGCTCTATTGGGGCCCCTGCCCAATCCTTAGCACAGTGCACTGAGCAGTAGGGCAGCTCCACTATATTGGGGCCCCTACCTGTAATCCTTAGCACAGTGCACGAAGCAGAAGGGTAGCTCCGTTCTATTGGGGCCCCTGCCTGTAATCCTTAGCACAGTGCACTGAGCAGTAAGGCAGCTCCACTCTATCGTGGCCCCTGCCTGTAATCCTTAGCACAGTGCACGGAGCAGTAGGGCAGCTCCACTCTATCGTGGCCCCTGCCGGTAATCCTGAGCACAGTGCACGGAGCAGTAGGGCGGCTCTGCTTCATCAGGGCACTGCTGGTAATCCTTATCACAGTGCACTGAGCAGTAGGGAAGCTGCGCTTAATCAGGAGGATCCCTGTCTGTAATCCTTAGTAGATGAGCAGTGCCAAGGGTATTTGGTGCATTGCAATGGTCCTACAAAGTGGGGCACTGCTAGGAAAGCTAAAGATAAAAAATAATAATTCTACTGGACTTCAAAATGTGCACTTTGCATTTTTGTGCTGACCCGCAGTAGAAAATTTTTTGTAAAATCTTTTTGTTTCCTGTGCAGTAAATAATTTCCAAAACAATGCGTGCCGCAGCTGGGCTACGGGTCAACCTGGGAGAATTCTAATGCCCGCCTAGATCTTGGTGCAGGCCGAGCTGCTATGCATTTGTCACTCTCAAACAATCTCTGCTTCGCCCCGGTTGGATCACGTCTGGCATGCCACCAGAGCTACCGGGTGAATCCTAAAATACCCGTCATTTTCCCCTCTTCCTGCTGCGTTGGCGCCAGGGGGCTGAGGTGCCTGTGGTCTGCGCCGTCCCACCGTCACCGTTCTTCTCTGCAGAATTTCCTCAGTGAGAAACTTCTTCTAAGTCGCCCTGTGGAGGTGTAAAGTAAAAAAGCTCCGTAGATGTTGGAAATTGCCTGCCCTGTGACATTGATCGCTGGGGACATGTGTAAGACGCGTTCTTCGGTTACACTTAGAAACCACTTTGACTTGGGATCCGGAGCTATTTTTGGTCTCCTCTCCCTGAATGTCTCAACTGGTGGATTTGACATTGCTGCTCCCGGAATTAATTTCTTCCATTTACCTCCTTTGGCATTTTTGTTTTATTTTGCACTCTGATTTTACCTCCTCGGCGGATTTTATGATTTGAGGTCATGGATGACAGCCCTCTGCCGCTGCTCACGGTGCCGACGGCGCCGTATTACGACCAGAGACCGGGGACGAGCGGGCTGAGGAAGAGGACGTACTATTTCGAGACCAAGCCGAACTACCTGCAGAACTTCGTACAAAGCATCTTTTTCTCCATCGACCTCCGAGACCGCCAGGGGTCCACCATGGTGGTGGGCGGGGACGGGAGATATTTTAATAAGCTCGCCGTCGAGACAATTGTTCAAATGGCTGCCGCAAACGGGGTTGGTAGAATGCGTCCATATTTGTGTTTTTTTTTTTTTGTTTTGCTGTTTTTTAAACTTTGTAACAGAATTTTTCTTGTAGATTTTCCTGTTCTGGGAATTTTGACATTTGTTGTTTTTGTTTAAATTGTCATCTTGGCAGACGGGAACATTTTATGTAACGTTGCCTGACAGGGCGGCAGAGCCGACGTGCTTTTAAGATTCCTCGAATGAGTGAGATTTTGATTCTGACAAGTGGGGGTGGTAGGGGAAATGACGAAGGCCCGCTTCCCGTCTCAGAATTTGTAACTGTGACAAACGTTTAATTTAGGTATTGTGTATATTTTTTTTTTTTTTAAATGCGGCTCTATGTACAGTGTGTGTGTGTGTGTGTGTGTGTGTGCGCGTGCGCGCGCATCTGTCTCTCTCTATCTCTCTCTCGATCTCTCTCTCTCTCGATCTCTCTCTCTCTCGATCTCTCTCTCTCTCGATCTCTCTCTCGATCTCGATCTCTCTCTCTCTCGATCTCTCTCTCTCGATCTCTCTCTCTCGATCTCTCTCTCTCGATCTCTCTCTCTCGATCTCTCTCTCTCGATCTCTCTCTCTCGATCACTCTCTCTCGATCTCTCGATCTCGATCTCTCGATCTCTCGATCTCTCGATCTCGATCTCTCGATCTCTCGATCTCTCTCGATCTCTCTCGATCTCTCTCGATCTCTCTCGATCTCTCTCGATCTCTCGATCTCTCTCGATCTCTCGATCTCTCTCTCTTCTCGATCTCTCTCTCTCTCTCTCTCTTCTCGATCTCTCTCTCTCTCTTCTCGATCTCTCTCTCTCTCTTCTCGATCTCTCACATGATTTATATTTATGAGTAAATACTTTCACTTGTTGTTGTTTTTGTTTTTATCTGATCATATTTTATATGAAATGTGCAGTCTTCTATTTTTGTTAAAGGAGAACTATGGGGTCAGTGTTTTTCCCCATAGTTCTCCTAAGGGTCATGGGAGGACATAAACTAGCGTCCTCCCGTCACCCAAAGCTCAGTAGCTACAGCTCGCGGCATACGGAGACCCCCGCAGCCGAGACAGATCCCGACATTACTGTCGAGATCCACCCAGCTGCGTGATTGACAGCTGGCTCTGCCTATCTAGAGGCAGAACCAGCTGTGCCCGCCCCGTCCGTTCTGTCAGTCAGTGCTGGAGGATCGGAGGGGGGAATCCCTGCGGGGAGCCGTGAGTGACAGTCACAGCTCTCTGCAGGGAGATGATCGAGAAGTGAGTGAACGCCGGTATGTGTTCGCTCACTTCCCGATCTATTGAGCCGACGTGTGACAGTTTAATTGTCACACGTCGGCTCAAACTATGAGGATGAGTGAAAATCACTCACCTCATCGTTCTCCTTCTAACAAATCATTTGCGATTAAACAAAACAGTGCTTATAGCTAGTGATACTTTTATATTATTTGCTACATATTCAAGTGTATGTCCTTGTATTGTTTTGAATAGAGAAGGAAGTGATAAAACTCCTGTAAGCTTATATATTTTTCCCCCATGCATTCCATTGGGGAGGATTTCCTTCACTTCCTGTCCTCCAGTTGCAACAGAAAGTGAGAAGAAATCTCTTTAGTTGACTGAACGGGTGTCCTCATGGGAAGATTTTCCCTCACTTGTTTTGGTGACAATTCAAAACATTACATTTCCCATCAATTTCTGTCTTGGTGACAGTGATCATCAGGGCTGGTGGAGGGTGAACGTCCCCCAAAGGGACCCAGACAGCAATAAAACTTTGTTTATTAACAAGCTTAAAGCCTTTTTCAAGCCCTGAAGAAGGAGCCACGCGGCCCCTGAAATGTGTTGCCTCTCCTATTTCATTAAAGCGGACCTTTTACCCCCTCTCACTAAAAATCGCATTAACATGCAGCTCTGCATCCTGATATGAAATCATCTCACATTCATTGATTAAACAAACATTTTTTTTCCCCTTACAATGTTATTGTTTTTCCGCTTCCTAGTCCTCTTGGGCATTAGTGATGTAATCTGTGCCCAAGTTTTGGAAAAAGGCTACATCAGCAGAGCATTCCTGGGGAATCTCCTCTGTAATCTCATGAGATCTCAGGGAAAGGCAATTTCCTCCTCTGAGATGATGTGCATGGTCACATGTTCCAGGAAGTAAAGGGAGATATATTAATCTGCCCTTAGTAAACATGGCCAATGTAAGAAGAATGGGGAAGGAAAGAGAAATAAGGAATGCAAAGAATACAAAGCCGGCAATTATCTAAAAGTGTGTGTAGATTGTCATTTTACTAAACATTTCTTAAGGTGCCTTTGTTGTCATTTCAAAGATAAGGGTGAAGTTCCTCTTAATCTTTTAGTAACCATTCTGGACTCTGAGCCATAGAGGTGATTAAGCCTCGGCTGGGGTGAAACGTGTCAGGAGAAGGAGCAGGGTCTGATCAGACACTTTCTGCCACTTCCTGTCTACATGCACTGATGGCTGCATGGCATTGCTTTGGACCAGCTTCATGATGGTGACAATGGTGGCTCCATGCCTGTGTAATGTGTCAGCGCTGGCGAATAATAACCTCCGCCAACAGCACATGTGACAGGTTGACAACGTAAAAGTGCAATGTGGAGATGGGGAAATGGTGTTGGCACCCCATAACAAGAAGTGACTGAATGAGGACCTTAATGGCAGGATGACCATTTTATGGATGTTGCAGAATTAAAGGGGGTTTACAACAATTTTTTAAATTACATTAACATGTTACAGTTTCCATGAGTTTTATTTTGGTAATTGGGATTACATCTTCTTTAAACTGTTCTGGCTTGAGTTCCTTATTGGATAGCTAAATGCAGGGCTGTAGCTACCACGGGGCGAGTGAGGCACTTGCCACAGGCGCAACTGAGAGGGGGTGTAGCCAGGGACGGCTACACCCCCTCTCAAGGCAAGCAGTGGGCGCCATTGGCAACAGGGGCGCCAGGCGGCCAACACAGCCACGGCTCGGCAGGGAGAAGAGGAGAGGCACAGGCTCCAGCCTCTCCAGGATTGAATGATGACTTCCTAAAGTATGAAACCACTTTTTTTTGTTTGTTTTCTATTGAAAATGATTTGATGTCTTGTTTCAGATTGGCCGGCTAGTCATCGGACAGAACGGCATCCTCTCCACCCCGGCCGTGTCCTGCATCATCCGTAAGATCAAAGCCATCGGCGGCATAATCCTAACCGCCAGCCACAACCCCGGCGGTCCCAATGGAGACTTTGGAATTAAATTCAACACTTCAAATGGAGGTGAGTAGGCCTTCCCTGGCGCGGTGCCTGTTTTATGAATTGGTGGTGGGCCTATAGGAAAGAGAGAACCCACAGTGACCATCACTGGTGACGCTTAAAGGAGAAGTATGAGGTGAGTGCTTTTCACTCTCCTCATAGTTCTAGCCGACCTGTGACAATGAGACTGTCACAGGTCGGCTCAGTAGATCGGGAAGTGAGCGAACACATACCGGCATTCGCTCACCTCTCGATCCTGTCACAGCTCTCTGCCATGACAGGGGAGGGGCTGGATTCCCCGCTCCGATCCGCCAGAGCTGACTGACAGAACGGACGGGGCTCTGCCTCTCGATAGGCAGAGCCAGCTGTCGCTCACGCAGCTGGGCAGATCCAGACATAATTGTCGGGATCCGTTTCAGCTCCGGCGTCTCAGTATACCGCGAGTTGTAGCTCGAGGTATACTGAGCTTAGGGTGACGGGAAGACGCTAGTTTGTGTCCTCCCGTTACCCTAAGGAGAACTATGGGGTAAGGCCCTAACCCCATAGTTCTCCTTTTCAGGAGGAATTCCAGGAATTACCTTTTATGGGTACTTACATTGGTCCAGCTTGGCTTGATGTAAGTATCCATATCTGATCTCCGGAGGGTGGCCAGGGATGCAGGAAGTCATTGTAGTAGTCTACTCTACATACAGTGATAGTCATGAGACTCCAGCAGCTTCCCTCTGTGCACTGAACACAAGGAGTTGCTCAATCAGCGCCACCACCATTTAACGAAAAATGGATTCAAGATGATCTCTGATTGGATGAGGTGAGGATGATGACATCATCCATGCCTCCTCTCTACCTCCTCCAATACAACACCTTGTGTTCATTGAAAATAATACAAGGCTTTCTCAGGGTGGCAGAGGTGCCAAGTGAGTGACTTCCTGTGCTCGTTGCCCACTGGGAATACATTGGCTGTTTTTATGCAATTACATGATGAACAATTTAAAGTAATTTGGGTTCCTTCACCGTGTAGTTTGGTGCTCCTGTTCCATGATTCATGCTTTGAAATGTTTGGGTTCCCACCACAGAGGAACCTTGTTTTATGTGAGCGGCCTTTCCAGAGCATGACGGCTCATTGAATAGATTTTGGTTTCTCCATCGTTCTGACTCTGAATGAGAGTCGCCAATAGACGTGTTTTCCGAATGGTGAGACTCATTTTCTTGATGAGCGTCCTCCTTGTTTACGCAGGGCCGGCACCCGAAGCCATCACAGACAAGATCTTTCAGCTCAGCAAAACCATCGAGGAATACGCCATCTGCCCGGACCTGAAAGTGGACTTATCGACCATTGGCAGACAACAATTCGATCTGGAGAACAAGTTCAAGCCATTTACCGGTAACGCAGCAAACGCCGCTGATATGTTTTTACATTTATCTAAAGCTGAACTTCAGGAAGATATAAAAGATACAAAGTAATACAGCTCTGTATTCAAGAATACATCAATATTGTTAATGTCGGAATTTGACTTGGTATCTCCCTCTTCCAATCACCTGTACAGTAGAGCTCAAAGTGACAGAGGGAGAAGCAGCACAGGGAACCTACCAAATGTGCTACATGCTTATGTGTTAACAAGAAACATGCAGATAGGAGGAGAGAGCAGCGAGGTGAGCTCATTAGTCTGCTTCTTCTCCTGTCACTGTCCAATCACAGGCTGCGGGAGGGACAAGACCTGTAAGTGTTACCTAACTACAGTAGAGGAAAATCAGGTCTGTTCCTGCAGACGGGGCTGTGCTGCGTGGCAGAGCTGTGTAAAGCTCAATGCTGGGTGGGCGGAAAAACTAATCCTTTAGGAGCCGAAATGGCTCCCATATATGTGTTTCATCTCTGTATCTAGCTGCTTGTCTGGAGCTCCGCTTTAAAAGTAGACTGCAATGGTTTGGGGCAGGGATGCACCGATGCCGGTTTTTCCGGTATCGAGTACGCGTACCGACATTTTTTTTTTGGTACTCGCCGATATCGAATGCCGATACCGGAAGTCCCATTAAGGAAGCGGGGCGGTGTGTAATGACTCGCCGCCTAGCTTCCTGATTAGCCAGGAAGCAGTCTCCATGCTCCATCACTAGGTGACGAGGGAACGTGAAGCCGGCTTTCTGACCAATGAGGAAGCCGGGGGGGCGGGTAATGACTCTACGTCCGGCTTCCTGATTGGCAAGCTTCCCGACCAATGAGGAAGGTAGGCGACGAGTCACTAAAGGAGAACTATGAGGTGGGTGCTTTTCAGTTCTAGCAGACCTGTGGCAATAAGACTTTCACAGGTCGGCTCAGTAGATCGGGAGGTGAGAGAACACATACCGGCTTTCGCTCACCTCTCGATCTTGTCACGGCTCTCTGCCGACTGCCCGGTTCATGATTGGCCAGAAGCTGGCTCCATGATCCCTCGTCACCAAGTGACAAGGGAACATGGAACTGGCTCCCCAGACAATCAGGAAGCCGAACAGCGAGTCATTACCCCCCCCCCCCCCCCCCCCC